TCCCATCTAATTTCACCTCAGCAACATTGCATCCAAGGCCCGAAGTCCATAGTCAAGCAGGAACCAAGAAAGAGAACAGAAAAACATTTACTTACCTACTTGGAGCTGGAGGACAAACTGCTCTGTCTGGCTGGGCTGGCAAATGCTTTGTGAGGCCCTCTCTAAAGTTTTTATACTCCCTCCTCTGGTTTTCAGCCCTCAAGTGGATAAACTGGTTACACAAATGTCCTCAGGCATGACAAAGGTTTCCAGCCAAAGCTTCAGGCTCAATCTTGCTCCCACCCTACACCCTCCCCACCCCCTTGATCTGTCAACTGCAGGGCACACCTATGCCAGCCTTAACAGATCTAATGATATAACTTCTAGAAATATTTGCTTACATATTCAAAGATGTGTATAGAATGGTATCAACTATAGCATTATCAAAATAATAGATAACAGAACATTAGCTAACACATATAGTATTTGTTTCATTTCCTAAGTACTATTCCTATATTAATTTATTAATTAAATCCTCACAGTGACCCATGATCCAAGTACTATGATTATCTCTAGTTTAGAACTTGTACATAGTCTTTTAGTACTATAAAAATAACTGGAAAAAGCCCAAGTGTCTAATGATAGGAGAGTCATCAAATAAATTATGGAGCTTCCTTAAAAGATTATGAAACTAATAAATAAGGTTAAAAGTATTTAATGAGCCACAAATATATTTACAATGTTTGGTAATATAAAAAACACAAAACTAAAACTATATTCTATATGATTAAATTTGGGGTGAATGTGCATATGAAAGAAAAACTGCTATAGAAAAGAACATGGCAGGGAAGGCTTTCTGGAGGAGGCTGGCATTGAGCCGGGGTTCAGAAAGCTGTGTAAGGGACTGGGGAAGGCTGCTCCCTCAGGGAAGCTGTAGAGGTGTTGCCACTCATAGTCCCCAGGTGATGAGGCCCAGAGAGGGTACCTTGAGATGCTCAGCACTGAGAGTCTAGAGATCATTGTTTGCTTCTGTCACTAACTACAAGGTGAACATAGCAAGTCCTGGCCCCTCTCTGAGCCTCAGTTTCCCCATTTGTACAAAGGTGGTAATAACACCTACCCTGACTCTCCCTGACTTGAGCTAGAGATGAAGCTCAAGTAAAGGCTTGAGCTATGGGACTCCTAAGGGGACCAGTGAGCAAAGCTGGGGTTCTCTCTACTGACCATTTACTGAATCCTTCGTATGGGCTGCAGACTATGCTAAAGGCTCACAAGCACATTTGAGGCCATGAAGGACATGCAACTGTTACAATCACACAAGGCCCTGGGTAAGTTTTAACCAACACTATAAGGAATGTGCTTATTTTATTCCATTTCACAGGCAAGAAATTTGGGCTTGCAGGGTATTTGCCCAAGGTGACACAGCTGGACATAGCTTAGACAGAATTTAAACCCAGATCAATTTGACCCCATAGCCTGTGGCTTTGACACTGCGCTGCAGGCAGTTGAGGTGGAGGCATGGGCGGGGAGGCCCTCCAGAGCTGTAGCCCCTGATGCCCTTCACCCAGTAAAGGCCACCATGATTCATACCAGGGTCAGCCTCTCATCTGCACAGAGAAGGCAGAACCCACCTTGGGGGTGGCAAAGGGATCAGGAAAACCCTCACATATCAAAATATTCTTCTATCAGCAAAGAGGTACTGGCCTGATCCTCTAGGACAAAGGTTTCATTAGGCTGTGTGAGATTCCACTCTCTTGAGAAAGTTGAATGGGTCCCCCCTAAAAAGCCCACAGGAACACATTTCAACAGAGCCACTTACAAGCTGAGTGAATCTGAACACTCCTCTGGACTCCTCAGACCTCAGGTGTCCCATCTTATAATGAGGGTGGAAATACTTATATGAATGTTCTTTACAAATGGAAGGTGGTACAAGTCATCATTAGACACCATCTGACTTTGCCTGCATTGGCAAAGATGGGCCAGAAGTTGGCTGTTTTGACCATCTTGATGATTTGTCTTTGCACAAACTGATGTATTTATTATGGACACTGGGAAATAGTAATGTGAGTAATTGTATCTTCAACGGGTTGAGGGACATAGCAAGAAAGAGCCTTAAGAGAAGCCTGGTGTTCAGAGGAATATCATTTGGTCACCAAATGCTTTGTGCAAGGTCCTAGATGTCTTCCTACCATTCTCTACATTAAATCTCCAAGCAAAACTCTATTCACAAAGTGGATGGGTGTGGGGCAGGAAACTGAAGTTCTACCAGCAGCTGAGATTCCAGGAAATAAGCAGAATCCAGCAGGTTTGAACTGGTTGGGGTGGCCAGAATAAAGTTTGGTCACAGCTCACTTCAAGGCACAACCACACTCTTCATCTCCCTGCCACATCTCTCACACTAGAAAACCAGAAATTCAGGATTCCTTAACTAGGAAGCATAACCAGAGATGGGGACACCAAGGGGAGGGGCGTAGGTGGGGAGCAGATTTTGGACTGGTATTGTGTTCCAAGGGCTTTATCACCTTACCATCACCCTGGGAGGTAGGTATTACTATTTACATTCTACAGTCTGAGGAAATAGTCTCAGAATGGTAGTCATTTACTCAAGAATATCATTTGATATTCTATGCCTTATGGTGCCTATTCTTCTTAAAGTGCTATCTTATAAATTATCTTAAGAGATGAACAAGATGTCACAAGGCAAATAGAGGCAGATGTTAATATTCCCATCTTATGGGTGAGGAAACTGAGACCCAAAAAGAAAAACTAAAGGACTAAGGCAAGAAGCCCAGTTTCTCTACCCTCAGGCTCCATGAAGTACCGCAGCCTCACCATGAAGACAGAAACGAATCCAGCTTGAAGATTATCAGGAAGCTTTTTGGGCCTTGTAATACCCTGACGTGTTAAGAGTCATAATCTCAGAGCTCACATTTATGGAGTGGCAATGACAACCAAGCACTGTGCCACGCACATGTGCACACCAACTCTGTGAGGCAGTGAAAGACCATGAAACGGGGGTGCAGGGAGCTGAACAACTCGCCAGGTCGTGCAACCCAGAGGTGGACCTGGGATGTGAACTGAGGTTGTCTGGCTGCAGAGCTCACCCTCCCTCGGAAACATTCTGCTGTTCAGTCTCTCCAGGGGGAAGTGAGCCAGAAAAGGACTGCGAGCCAAAGGGGATTTTAAATGGCCACTGACAGGTGATGGGTCTGCCTACTCTAGGTGGCAATGTTCCCTGATCCCAATTTCATTTTAGGGGACCCCTTTTGAAGCCATGCCAACCCTTAAGATATATAACCAAGAACCACTCAAAAAGGTATTCTTAAATTCTGAGGAACTACGAGATGCAGAAGAGAAACCTTACCAGTGCTTTCTGTGTTTTTGCTACTGTGTCCTCTCCTCTCACACTGGAACTTGGTATCTCCCTTCCACTTTGGCTTTTAGTGTATCCTGTCCTGGTTTCCTTTCTACAGTTTTCTACATGGGCTTTATGTGAACTTGAATGAGCCAGCACACAGACATTTTATCTATCCCCTGCCTGCATTTTATGTAATCAAAAGACACAGGTCATAATACAGATCCAACCAACAGGACTCTTTAGAAACCCAAACGCAATCGGAAAGAAAGGGCTTACTTTTCACATTCAATTAGGATATAATGGGAAGTCCTAAGGTAAGTCACATCCCTTTGAGGTGAAAAATCATTCAGTTACCTTCTCTGTCCCTCAGCCTGCCCAGGCTTTTTTTCGCTCCCGGTAGGGCAAGATTGGCAGTTCTTGAATTATTTCTTTACTGCTCTGTGTTAAGTTCAGGTCAGAATTAGCTAATTGGAGCCATGCAGAATCTAAGCCCCTTGACTCAATCTCCTCTTTTCATGGCTGAGAACCAAGAAGCAGTCAGTACAGTGGTTATGAAAACAGAGCAGGTAGTGAATCTGCTCCACTGCCTCATCCTGTGTGACCTCAGGCTAACATCAACCTCTGCAGGCCCCAAGTGTCCTCATCCGTAGCTAGAAATAAGAACAGTTCCAGCTTGGTGGGGCTGCTGTAAAGATAAATGGAATGATGTATTTAAAACCTTCAGCACAGTGGCCTGGCATGTAGTAACCGCTCAATTAAAATTAGCTATTATCATTATTAAGATTGAGAACCCACCTGTCCAGGGTAGCTGCTGTCGAAACCTTGGTTTATAAATGGCTTTCACTTAATTTGTAATGTTTCTTTCACCTGTTTGGTATAGAATATGGCTTTAGTAATGCTGGACACAAAATTCTGTAAATGACTTTTCCACTAAATTGGTGGATTTCAATGAAGATTGATAAATATGAATTGCCCAGGAAACCTTCTCAAACCCCTACTGCACTCCACTCACCTTGCTTTGAAACCTGGTACCAAGAGGAGCCAGATAGAGCCACAC